GTGGTGCTGAGGAATCGAACCCAGGGCCTCATGCATACAAGGCAAGCACTCTACCACTGAGCCACCTTCCCAGCCCTGCATTAACTCTTCCCTCCTTAAGGTAAAAACCATCTCTCCCAACCTCCCTGGGAACCCAATTGGCTGAATTGGGTCTTTGGGCCCAGATTATAGCCAGCCTAGTTTAATGCATGGAGTCTGTGATGTAAACTTGGGTGATTTTTCATCTATACCCCCTTTTCCTTAGGCTTGCGAATCCATGATTATTTGTACTTCCAAGTGCTGAGTCCTGGGGACATTCGATACATCTTCACAGCCACACCTGCCAAGGATTTTGGTGGTATCTTTGTAAGTTCAAGTATGCATCTGATCTCTGACCTCAACTTGCCCCTTTCCTCATTGAACTGTGGTGACTTTTTCATCCTACCTGAGTGCTGAGCCAGAGAAGGAAACAATACAGAGCAATACAGGAGCCTCAATAGAGTATTTTCTGCAGATGACTTCTCTGAGCATACGACAGACCTAGGCACCTGGGAGGCACAAGCTATCTTATTGTGGGCCATGAAATAATGATAAAATAAAGGTACAGCTTGGTCAGCTCTACCTTTGGGTACCTATGTCTCTCTTCCTGAATTTATAATTAGCTCCCCTACCAATCTCACAGAAAGGCAGAGTCAAGTTGAACAACCAAACAGGCCTTTGTGAGAATTGAAAATGCTCAACAGCAACTTAGAATGCCCCCTACATTTTCTTCAGTTTATAATGAGGCACCAGTAGGAAGGATTGTCACTGAGTCCCAATACAGATGTGCTTTCCTAACACTCACCTGTCCTAATGTCTAAACATTTTTCAGCACACGAGGTATGAGCAGATTCATCTTGTTCCTGCTGAACCTCCAGAGGCCTGCGGGGAACTCAGCAACGGTTTCTTTATCCAGGACCAGATCGCCCTGGTGGAAAGGGGGTAAGGAGTGGGGTAGGCATGCAGAAGTAGAGGGCAGTTCTAAGATCATGGCTGGTGGTAGTGACATGAAATAGCTGGTTTTTTGTTTTTTAAATAATCCCCTTTTAGGGTCTTTTAAGAAATGTTTTAGGAAGCTGGGTGCTGGGAACTTGTGCCTGTAACCTTAACTACTCAGGCTGAGATAGGAAGATCCCTGTTCAAAGCCAGCCTAATCAGGAAAGTCTGTGAAACTCTTATCTCAACAACCAAGTAGCAAAAAGCTCAAAGTGGAGCAAAAAGTTCAAAGTGGAGAAAATTAAGCAGGAAAAGTTAGGGGTAGCACCCAGTCATGAGCTGAAGCCCCAGTTCTGACTGGCAAAAAAAAAAAAAGGAATGTCTTAAAGGCCAGGCATGACGGCAGACATCTGTAACCACAGCTACTTGGGAAGCAGAGAAAGATCAAGAATTGGAGGCCAGCCCTGGTGAAGTTAGGGAGCTCCTGTCTCAGAAACAAAATACAAAATGGCTGGGAATGGGTTCAAGTGATACCAAGTACCTGTTTATTAGCATATGTGGGGGTCCTGGGTTCATTCTGCAGTACTGAAAAAAAAGTGTCTTAAGATTGTCCATGCTTTTAACTATTTACTTAAAGAGCCTTTATAAACAAGTTCTCCATGGTCCTCTTTCATCCTCAGATGGTATAGGAGAGGGGTAGCTAGCACCTGCTGTTCTCTTGATTTTATCACCACCTCTTCCAGGGGTTGTTCCTTCCTCTCCAAGACGCGAGTTGTACAAGAGCATGGTGGTAGAGCCGTGATCATCAGTGACAATGCAGTTGACAACGACAGCTTCTATGTGGAGATGATCCAGGACAGTACCCAGCGGACAGCTGACATCCCTGCCCTCTTCCTGCTTGGCCGAGATGGGTGAGAGTTCTTTGTCTCTGTGCTGCACCTAGCGGGGTGCCATAACTTTGGGAAATCAAGGGTAATCAACAATGTATTCCCACAGGTCTTATCTTGGGGTACCTCAATTGGAGAGCAGAGTTCTTGTGCTCTGGAACTCCCAAAATGAAGGGGAAAGTTAAGGGAAGTTGGGGTGCTGAAAGTGACCATTTCTACTTCTCTTCATGCCCTCTCAGCTACATGATCCGCCGCTCCCTGGAACAGCATGGGCTGCCATGGGCCATCATCTCCATCCCAGTCAATGTCACCAGCATCCCCACCTTTGAGCTGCTGCAACCGCCCTGGACCTTCTGGTAGAAGAGTTATTCCTGTATTCCAGCTTGAAGTGACTCTGTGCTGGCGAAAGGAAACCCAGGAATTTTGCTATTTGGAGTCTGGGGGTTAGCATCTGAGGACAAGTGGAAGCCAGGCAGATGAAAGGAGACTTGGCCAGGCTGAGGAAGGAAGGAAGCCACACCACTCACTGGCTTTCCCTTCCCCAGGGCCTCCAAGGACATCTCATGCTAAAGAGACAGGCAAAAGCCAGGCCCCAAAGTCTTCTGGCTAGAATCAAGCAAAAGGAGCTAAAGGCAGCAGCCTGAATCAATCTGACACCTGTCATACCACCTGCTTCAGCCTCCCCAACCTAGGATCTCCTCACAGTGACCACAGCAACTGCCGGAGTTGTTTAAGGAACTGGTGTCTGGGGACTCAAACCCTCATTGACATTGTAGCAATAAAGTTTCTCAACAGGGTTGAGACTATGTCTAGAATAAGAACATATGGGAGGGTGAGGCCTCCAGACTGTCTTAAGGCAAGGCATGGAGGCTGAGACAATGACTTCCCAAGGTCCTTTGGTACTCAGACTTTTGTGGGGAGTCCCAACATAGTACCTTGTTCAAGAGCTCAGCAAGCCCCAGAGAGTGGTAGTCGAACCCCTGTGAAGATTTATCTTGTAACCTAGTGCTGGGGACTGAGGTGGGACCCCAGGAAACTCATCCTGGTTTTGGTAACATTTGCACAGCATAGTGTGACCAAGGCCAAACATGAGCCCAAGCTGGGAAGCCTGGAACACACATGTTGCTGCCAATGACCAGTCTGTCCCTTTGCACTAACCTATACGACTACAGCATGCCGTGTGTGGCCTGACCAGCCATTCTCCACAAAGCATCGCTGCAGAGGCCTGACACCACTCATGTTTTATTGAGAACAGTGGGCAGGCAGGGTAGGAAGGGCTTGGCTACTGTGCAGGAGTAAGAACCTGCTAGGTGAGGGCACCAGGCAGGCAGGTCCCATCTGTCCTCCCTTGGGTTCCTCAGTAGGCAGGCCCCTCAGGGAAGGCAAGCAGAAAGAAACTGGAAGTGATGGTTTAATTCCCACAGCACCCAACCGGAATGGTTCACCTGTGGCTAATCTCTTTAAGTAGCCCAGCTCCTTAGACTTCTGGAAGACTTAAATATTCCCCAGTGGAGATTCTAAAGATGGACATTTGAAGCCAGATTCATTCTGGCCTCAGGGAAGAATAGAGCATCCTAAATTCAGGAGCAGACTCGTCCTCCAGATCTCAGCCATACTGCTGGAGTCCTCAGTGGGAAGATGGTTTGAGAAATGGTGATGAGCCTCTGCACACCCCTCTTCCATACCTCATGGGCCAGCCACTGTGCCAGGGCCTGGGAAGCAAGGCACAGGTACAGGGATTCTGGAGTCTGGGGAGTTAAATATCCACTTCTCCCATGTACAAACAGTGGGAATGGTCCAGCATTCCCTGGTAGAGAGCCAGAAGTTCTACTAGAGACCCAGACCCTCCTTCTGCTGGGCTAGCGGGCAGGTTACTGTCTTACAGCTACAGCTCTGAGGCAGAAGGTGAGATGGGAAGGAAGTAAGGAAGAAGGTGAAGCGCTACACCATTTTCCCTTTCTGCTTCAATGAAACCAATGTGTTCTTAGCTGTGCCACTTTGGTACCCCTGAAAATAAATCCACAGCTAGTTGATAGGGGACAAGCCTCAGATGGATACGTGAGGGTGGGTCAAGGAACCAAGAAGAAACACTGATAAGCCCACGCCTGGTTCCAGCCCCTAACATCTACATGGAGTAACCTCAGTGGGAGGAGGCCAGTTCTAGAAGGCTCAGTGATGGCGCAGGGCCTGAGGCAACTCAGCAGCAGTGCTCAGGGCATGAGGTCTGGTGGGGGATGGGGGAATCCAGCCTGTCCTGCCCTCTGGCAGAGTGCTTGAAGGAGGAAAGCAGGCAATGGGAGTAGGGTATTCCTTCCAAGCCTCTTCTCTAAGGGAAGGGCCCCTTTTCTGGCAGGGTCTGGAGCAGCGCCCCATCTGGGTGGGGCAACATCACACATCAGTCATCTCATCCCCTAGCTCTGCATCTTCTGGCTCTCCTTCCTCTTCTTCTTCTTCCTCTTCCTCCTCTGAGGTCACATTGGGTTCATCAGCCTCTGCTAGGCATTTGGGGCAGGAACAGACAAATAGATAGTTCTCCCTGCAGATATGGAAGAGTGAGAAGTCAGCCACTGGGCTGGTGATCCCTAGGACCCAGCTACCCCACCACAACCCCAGCTGGCACCTGAGGATCTTGTGGCGGCTATGGCGGCTGCGTTCCCGCTGACAGCAATCTAAGTAGCTGATACAGACTTCCTGTGGAGCAGAGGAGAGTGGGTCTAATAGTCTGTGCCTCCGTTCAATAGGACTAAGACCTTCCCCAAGGACTGCCCTGTCTCCAACCACTGCCCCTGCCCCTTCCACAGGCGTTAGCAGGTGGGTATTACAAGGCTGCAACAATATGTCTTAGATAGAGGAAACTTTTACCAGGCCATGGTAAAAGCCAGCCAGTGACCAACATCAGTAGGTGGGATCAAATGTTATCTTAGTGTGATGCTTTTGCACTTGAAGAAAATTCAGCTATGTTCTAGGCATTGCACTAACCACCAGTACTCCCAAAGTATATTAGCCTACTTTGGCTCAAGCCACAAAGAGCTACCTACTGCTTTCTTAGAAGCTGCAGGTCTGTTGATCAAAAGGTGGCTGTATACAAGAACCTGGGCACATAGTTGTCCCTCAAACATTGCTCTGAGGCAGTGTTATTTTTTGGACAATTGGGGTGGAGCTAGAACATACTCACAGGCCCTCAGGCATGGCAATCAAGTTTCAGGGCTTGTGAGGATCTGTCTAAAGGGATCTAAGCACTTGCGGCTCCCAATCTCTATGGAGAACCCACTGCCCACCCTCACAGCACTGGTCCCCCTCACCTCTCCTGGCTTAATATCCTCCAGGGCAGTGACATGCAAAAGGAAGTTGTTTTCTGGGAAGGAGGTCTCTGCATTGGGGACACAGCTGTGGTTGCCTGGGTCACAAAAGGCAGGTAATGAGAACTGTTGCCTTAATAAAAACAAAACAAAAAAAACCTGCAGAGCACTAGATCCCTTCCTTTGTTGCTCTGGAACTTAGCAGGACTGAGGAGGTATGAGGCTCCCAAGTTTCTTGCCTCCTCGCCAAAACCCTTGAAGACCATACTGCACAGGCACAATGTACTCCCATTCTCTGCCTACTCCAGGCTCCTGAGACTGGCCAACTTCTCAGCTGTGTTCCATTGTCTCAATAAAAGAGGGACAGGGCTCTGAAGGGATGTCCATACTAGACGGCTGAGCTCAGTTCTCTCTGCTACTAGAAAACTCAGCCTGGAAATGGGTTGTATAGTGAGGATATAGGGGTGGGAAGCTGAGATTTGGAAGTCATTTGTCAGAGCTGACTCTGGTCCTCCCCAGCAAACCTGATGAGACTCCTAGCCTGGGCCTCCCAGGCTCTCCCATGGTCCTCTAACACATCTCCCAGGACAGTGATGGCACTCAGCTCATGCAGCATCACTCTGTGCTTTCCTTAGGTGGGGCCTATAAAGATCTTTGTAGATGTAAAATTTTACATATAAGCGGCTGTTAGCACAACAGGAATCTGGGGAGAATGGCTCAGTGGTATATTGCTCTGCCTATCATGTGAGGCACTGGTTTTGAGGCTTAGCACTGAAAAAACAAAAACCACAAAGAGTTGGATGGAATGGGTGAAAAATGATGAAGTAAAAGGTCCAACTCTGCTTCTAGACTTGACCTTGCCAGCCTAGAAAGGGCCAACTAAGAAAGATGATCTATGGCTCTGAGGCTACCTAACAAGGACAGTAATGTGTGGGTCTAGCCCTCCCCAGTGCCGTGACTCACAGCAGCTCTGAAGCACGAAGAGGCCAGATCCTTCACAGTTAAGAAACTCACCAGTTGCTGTAAGATAGTAACATATAGACATTGTTATACCCATATTACAGGTGGATGAAGGAATCTAGGCTCTGCTGTCCCGCCACCCCATCACATTAATATACCCAAGTCCTACCATTTCACCTAAATTTGCTTCTCTGAGGCCAAGCCTTAATCCTCTGTCTGTAACATCACCCTATTTGTCTGGCATGCCCTTCTTCCCAGCATGGAGCCTCTGGGTGGATTGCAGGGCCATTTCTCACCTGCATGTCTATAAACAGATCTGAAGGTCTCCACAGGCACAAAGGAATTACCTTTCCCCAACATTAATTTGGAGCTCCCAGGGGGAATGACTGTGTCTGCCATATCATTGAGAATATCAAGGTTCTGTGAGACCACAGATCCATCTCACCAACCTGCTTCGATGTCCTTGTACAGCTGGTCAATGAAAGCATCTAGCTGCTCGCGATCCTGAGGCTTCAGCTCCAGAGCATCACAAGCATGGACCCACTGACTCAGGGAGCTGAGGGGGTCCCAAGTAGTCCACAGTTGGAGAGAAGGCCAAAGTCATAGGCTCTCCACCTCCAGGCAAGTTAAGTCTAGGCAGAAGGGTCTCCCATCCCACCCTGATTCTTTCTCCAGACCCTATGCTACCCAACAGAGCAAAACTGCTAAGAACAGATCTCATTGCCTCTTTCTGACTCCCAACCACCCTAGACAGGTATTCCCAACCCCACCTGAGTCTTAAAGGAAGCTGTGGCTATCTTCCTCCATCCATCTCCCACCTGAATCTGAAGGGAAAACTGAATAGCTCTAGAGCATTCTCTCCTAACCTGGTCCCAATTCCTTGGCCATTGGTTCCAACAAGAGCAAAGAGAGACCGGAATCCATCTGGAGTGAACCACTATGGGGAAGAAACAGAGATGAGTGCTGAAGTTACAATCACCTGTTTCCCCTCCAACCCCTAACCTGACTCTGTTCATCAAGACTTATGACAGCAGGGCCCATTCCAGTTCCAGAAAACAAGGTTGACGGATGCTGACCTAGCTGTTCCTGGAAATCTGGAGTGACCTGCCCTCTCCATACTCACCTGACTCAGTGCTTCCTCATAGAGGGCCTCTGTAAAGAGCCTCCGCAGAAGTTCCAGTTGGCCCTGGTGTAGGGGAAGCAGAAGAGACTGTCACCCCTGGGAATGTCTCCTTAGCACCTAGGCAGGGCCCAGATCAGGTAAGGAAAGAAAAGTAGTCAGCTCTGACTGAGGTTTTCCTGGAGGCAAAGAAAGGCCACAAAATCCTTTCCTCTAAACAGATTTGGCAGCCCACTGCGCTACTCCCACACTGGGTGTAAATCCAAACTTTCTCCATATTCTAGAACTTGTACTGACCTGGCTTAGCCTTGTCCATCACCTCCTTTATGGCTCTCCTGACCTGGTCCAGCTCAGCTCTCCCCTCCTTTACTCTGAATTCAATGCAGAAGGGACCATGTCTCTTGCTGTGTACATCCTATCCATACAGCTGCCTCCACCCTCAGGCAGCTTCAGTGCCTCCTCAGTGAGTACCTGTATTCTAGTTGGGAATGGGCACTTAGTATGCTGGCAGGTTCACACTACTCCCTGACTCTATGGACTCCTAGCCTTCCACTCTCCACCAAGCATGCTTTGCTCACTGCTTCCCTGAAAGTGTTCTTGCCTTCCCACACAATGTAAAGAGCACTGCAGGGCAGGCATCCAACCCTCTTTCCTGTCACCACCCCACTTTCCCACTTTGCAATTTTAGATCTGTATTATGTCATAAAGCAAGTCATCTGAATTGATTTTTGGACCCTTTCTGTAGCTGGGAAAAGACCAATATGGAGTTAGCTTCCCACAGGAAGCACAGACTACTTGGGAAGGTATGAGGCAAAGACAGATCATGGGAGAAGACTAACCTTGAATTTGTCTCCCAAGAGTTTGTGGACAATTTCCTCTTCCTCATTGGCTGTTTTGTTGCAGAACTGGGAAAACAGCCTGATCCACTGATCCTTATCTTTAGCCTGCAGTGAACAAATACACATCAGAGACATTCACTGCCTTACTGGCATTCTGGCCATGTGAGACAGAAAGCCCCCCACACTCCCATAAGCAAGTGTCTCTCCAGCCAGAGATGGGCTAGCCAACTCCAAACACTTAGAAAAGTAGAGGAAGGACAAAATAGACCAAAGGGGTTTGGAGTGTCTTCTCTTACTTTATGTGAGAGACAGGATCTTGAAAAAATGGTGCTTACAAACCAAATTTATAAACTGCTGCTGTATAAGACATCTCAAATCAAACACTATAGGCAAAGTGAGTTCCCACTACCTGTGCCTGACTTCTAATTGGCTACATATCAGCTATCCTCCTCTGGGACACCAAAGGCAAATGCATCTAAGCTAGGACTCTAATATGAGGAGGAGACTGACACCAGGGCTGAACTAGGCCCATCAGCTCACCCTGGGAAGTCATCCTCGGACATAGGTGGGCTCACCTGCTTCACTGTAGCCACCATCCGGGCCATCAACATGATGCTTGCAGTCTCAGGGGGATAGTGAACACTCCTGGAGAAAGAGTAAAAAGCTTGGCCTAGAAATTCCTTTCCTAGTAGCTAAGTCCTGGGAAGCCCAGTTTGACCACTATAAAGAAACTTTTTCACCAACTTCATTAATTACCAAGGAGAGAGCAGGGCTGAGGCAAAGTGTGCATTCCTAAGGGCTTAGTGGGTTTTTTTCGGGGAATGAAAATGCTGACAACGGCAAGACAGGCTGCCCAGATTAAAGGCAAGGGCTTTTTCTCGCCTGAAAATGGAAGGAAAAAGTCTGGGGGATAGTATGCTAAGGAAGCTGGCAACAGCTGATGAGCCCAAACAGGTAGAAAAGCAGAGAGAGAATAGAGGGGAAAGAGACCTACCTCCATGCCTCCTGCAACTTATTGAGAGGATGCAGGGGGTCATCCTGGGAGGGGCCTGGGCACAGGACACGGTGGTATTGCTCTGCAGCTGCCAGCCGACATTCTGCACTGCAGTACATCACCTGTTAGGTGGGGTGGAGGTCAGCACCCTAGGATCTGGCCATGGGGAAAAGGGGGAAGAGGCACAGATATCCCATGGAGTGCTCACCTCCTCTAATTGCATTGTCAACCAAAAGGACCCCTGAGTAGAGCTCAGAAGTATTAGGAGATGAGAAAACATAGGGTACTCTGGGGGCATGTGGGAAGCACCTAACCTAAGCCTGTAAAACCATATTAAAGGGAAAAGGGTGGAAGGGAGAGGCCCTATCAGGGTCCAGGGACTAAGGCACATTCACACTAAGCCTACTTTCTAAATCTAGGTGACATAACTGGAACATGGAGGATAAAAGTGGAACAATTACCAAGTCCTTTTAATGTCTTAGCCTGCATTGACCCTTGAGAGCCAGGACCCCGGATCTGATCTCTAGTCTCCCCAGTGAGGACTTTACCTACCTAAGACTTCCCTTGCTCAGATCCTTTCAGAGATGCTCACCTGGCAGCTGGGGCAGTTCTGGTGGAGGTCTTTGCGCACAGTGCACAGCTCTGGGTGAGGCAGTACATGGCCTGGCTTCCCAGTCAGCCTCTGGGCATTCTCCTCTGCCTTCTCCAGTGCCCGAAGGCAATGGTCACAGGCTGTAGATGAAGCCAGACATGATAAGTGTCTTAAGTGCAAGGACTGCATCTGTCCTTTTCACAGCACTGTTCCTGGGGCATGTGCCCTGGGCACAGGATAGCTGCTCCATGGAGGTTCAGGGAGTGAACGGGACTAGAATATTAATGGGATGAATGACTGGATTTCACATGCATCCAAAGAGGGATAATAATCCCCTCTTACTTCTCAAAAACAGGCCCTCACCATTCCTCCTTCTGATTGGAGTCTGACTGATTCTGCAGCCAAATGACCCTCCTCTCATGATTTGCCTCTAGCATCCCACTTGTTCTGACCCCTAACTCAGGGTCTTGCCCTGCTTTTCAGTACAAGAGATCCATTTTGGCACAAAGCCCTTCAGCACGATGTCCAGATTCTGATATTACAGAAGACTGTGTAACAGTCCAGGGAGCACATTGAAAGAACCTCCTACTACAGATGTAGAGCCCAACCCCAAGAGGGGACAGAGGTGTGGGTCTTCAACAGGGGGAGAACATTTCCTCCCAACATCCAGAATCCCAGAGTCATAAACCAGAATACATGGCACTCTCTTCCAAGTACAAAACTGACCAGGCGAAGGTGGGGAAGTGGATCAGTGGTAGAGTGCTTGTCTTGCATGCATGAGGTCCTGGGTTCCATTCCTCAGCACCACATAAGCAGAAAAAGCCAGAAGTGATGCTATGGCTCAAGGGGTAGAGTGCTAGCCTTGAGCTGAAGAGCTGAGGAATAGTACCCAGACCCAGAGTTCAGGCCCCACGACCGACAAAAGAAAAAAAAAAACAAAAAACTGACCAGGCCAGTAGCCATAAGAAGCAGGCAAGATGTACTCACCTCGGTAGCGATAAAGTGCATTCCAGAGAAACTGTGCAGCCACCAGAGGCCTTTCTACGAAGATAGTCTCTCCCTTCCGGATCAGCTGTGTGGCAAACAATCCCTTTCCCTAAGAAGAGAGAGGAGAGACAGACCATAGCTCCAGAAGGTCATCCAGTTTCACTCTTAGCAGAGGCCTTTCCCCCTGAGGGCTAAGGAAGAGCCTCCAGAACTGCTTCCTTTGGAAAAGTATCTCTGACCTATTATCAGCTGCACCTCTTTCAGCCCATTTGGAGCAGAAAGCCTGGGCCAGAGGGAGTCAGTTACTCTGACTGTTCAGAGGAAAACCTTTAGTATGCCCAGGGAAGGGTCAAACACTCGGGAGGATTGCAGGGAACCCTATACTCTGGGAGAGAGCAGCTTAGCTTGGGAAAGAACTGTCCTTTTTCTGGGTCAGCTGAGTACTCATAGAACCTAGCACAAAATCTAGCAAGTGCTCATTATATTGGAAGTAATGAGCTTCAACCCTAATGTTAACGTCCTGTGAAGCTTTGGAGTCAATTGCTCTACTTCTTTGCATTTGTTTCCCATGTGAGAAGTGAGTATTATAATGCTTGCCAGGTAGTTTCCAGGATGCAATGATACAGCACAAATGAATGTACCTCATGAACTCTACACCCTTACTAGTACATGTGAGGTATATAGATGTCAATAGGGGCATCATTTGGGACACTTTTAGAAATGCAGAATCTTGTGTGCTGGATGTTCAGTTGACTACAGAGCCTGGAGTTGTTGCTGCTATTGATGCGTAACATATTGGTATTATTGGGGTGTGTGTGTATATGAATTTTTGGAAACTTTAGCTAGATGGTCAACTTTATAACACAATTTATTGTGTTGAGTTGGCATTGTACAGAAATAGCCATATTGGTTTAGAAACATTAAACTTATTTCCCATTTGTACAGGAGATAAATGCACCATATTAAATATGTAAGGTCTTGTCTGCATGGGTTTGACTACAGAAAGTAACAGAACACTCTCTAAATAATAATAATAAACAAAGAAATACAGAATGCCAGACCCTCCCCCATAACTGCTGAATCAGAATCTGCAAGATTCTGCAAGATGCAAAGGTCATTCCTAGTTTATCAAAGTTTGAGAAGTGCACGTCTAACTTACTACATGATGAATCATGATAAAGAGTCAGAACATGGAATTGGAGGCATGGCTCAAGTGGTAGAGAGCCAGCTGTGAGCAAAAAAAGCCAGTGAAGAGTGTGAGGCTCTGAATTCAAGTTCCAACACCAAGAAAAGAGTGAGAATACAATCTCTGAACTGCCAACTCTGCATTCCAACTCTGAAATACATAAAATGACTCAGGGGGTAGCTTCAGAGCCCAGGCAGTTGTGGACCTGCTGGCATTTACTGACCTCTCACTTAAGAGAAGGGTGGTACCCTTGCCAACACTGCACTGCCATAACAAAGGGAAAAAAATAAGGCTTGGCACTGCAGGAAAATGTTCTGTCCCACTGTTTTCTGAGTAGCTTCCTGTTTCTTTTAGCACTGGCATTCTGGTCAGAGGCAGCTCCTGCCAAACTCAGAATAGCAAAAGATGTGTAGTCCAAGACAGGCTCTGGTCAATCTAAAAGCCACAAATCTCAACCTTGTGAACAAGTCTGAGAACTCTACCAGTAGGATAGAACAGGTGATACAAAAGCAGGGGCAAAGCCATGTGTGCAATTCTGACTGTCTTCCTGGAAGCCTCATCCCCCTGCCTTGAACCCCTGGGACTCAGTTTAGCAAAATAAAAACTTAGCCTCATGTCCTCTATAGGACAAAATAACACAAACAGGGACCCATTCTAATAATTTCAAATGCCAATATTGGATAAATAGAGATCTTCCTCTGCCTTTTTGGGAGGACCAAATACAGAAAATATATCAAAACTAAATTTGAACCAAGTGTAGTTACTCAAACCTGTAACCTTAACACCTTGGGAGATGGAGATGGGGGAATCACACACTTAGAGGCTAGCCCAAGTGAAAAAATTGGAGATCCCATCTCAAACCAAGGCTGGGCTCAATGACATGCACTTGTTATCCCAGCTAGGGGGAAGGACAGCAGTTGGATGCAGTGGCAAGTGCCTGTCATCCCCAGCAACATGAGAAAGGATCACAGCTCATGCTGTGAAAATAACCAAGGTAAAAAGGGGCTGGAGGTGTGGTTCAGATGGTAGAGCATTTGCCTAGCAAGGGCAAGGCCCTAAATTTAATCCCTAGTACCACCACCCTCCCCCTAAATCCTAATTTGAATGAAATAGATCTCATTCCCATGACAGAATTATTTCAAGAAAAACAGCTCTAATCATAATATCATGTAGCACTGGATAGCCTGAAACCTGAAGAAAAGGGAGAGACCATATAACCATTTTGAAAAGGAAGTTTAGATTATACAGAATTCTAAGACCAGGGCTGGGAAGGTGGCTCAGTGGTAGAGTGCTTGCCTTGCATGCATGAGGCCCTGGGTTCAATTCCTCCATACCATATAAGCAGAAAAAGCCAGAAGTGGTGCTGTAACTCAAGTGAGAGTTCTCCATGAGCTGAAGAGCTGAGTCCCAGTGCCCAGGCCCAGAATTCAGGCCCCACGACCAAAGGGGAAAAAAAAGCAAAAAACTGAAGCAGAATTCTAAGACCATGCAGCAAACTTTTGAAAGTCTTGATTAAATATTTTATTTTACCACACTACAATAAAGAAAAAAATTCAAAAAGAAGAAAGCTCAGTCAGTTTACTAAACCAACAGGCTAGTATTCACCAGGATGGCATTCCAATTGGCATTGATTAGATCTTGTAAGGTTTCTACTCCAACCAGTTGTGTCACTGGTATAACAGTTGGTAAATTTTTGAAAGCCACTTCTGTCTCACGGTACTCAGTATACACTGTGGAAAATAAACTATGCAATTTGTAGGCAGGGACAGGAGGGGGACACTGGGGAAAGCAATGGTGACACTATCCAGAAAGAAATGTACTCATTACCTGACCGACTTATGAAATGCCAACCCCTCTATACAATACCTTAATAACAATAAAATTAAATACAAAAAAACCAATCCTGCCAATATCCATAGAAGCAATAAAAAATAGTCAAAAACTACCCCCACATGAGTAGGCCCTTCATCTACTTTTTTTCATGAGACAGTTCTCTCAAGCTTTCAAATAAGTAATTCTCACTGTACCTTAAACCAGGCATAACCCTTATGTGGCAACCTGGGGAAAATGAAACAAAAAAAAAATCACAAAAATCCCAGGATGATAACCTGGTTATCTAACTGTCCAGCATCAGTGGATTAGTGACCACCTAGGGCCTTGACAGAAGACTAAGACAGAACAACAGGGCAAGGAGAATGGCTGAAGTAGTAAAGGAAGGAAGAAATGGAGAAAAGAGAAGAGTGGAGGTGGTCATAAAAGTAAAGGTGATTCCCACTGCAAGCTACAAGTGATGAAACTGTGGGACATGGGGCTGGGAATGCGGCTCAGTGGTAGAGTGCTTACCTGGCATTCATGAAGCCCCACATTTGATTCTCCAGTACCACATAAACAGAAAAAGCCAGAAATGGCACTGTGGCTCAAGTGGTAGAGTGTTAGCCTTGAGCAAAAGAAGCTCAGGGCCAATGCCCAGGCCCTGAGTTGAAGTGCCAGGACTGGCAAAAAATAACAAACAAATAAACAGAAACAACAAACTGTTGGCCATCTAGGCTACTAGAGGCTCTGGGAAATAGATGTGCGAGCAGCTAAAGACCAAGGATGTAGCCAAGGCACTTCCTATTGAGCGATAGGTGTACTCACAATGACTCTGGAGCAGAAAGAGGGAAAGGGAAACCTGGGCTGGGAAACTGAATCAATATGAAAATGCTGACAGCAAGACAGATGACTAGAGTGCTAACATTTGGGGCGAGGACCAACGATACATACAGCCACTACACATCATATTCAACCTATTACCCAAAGAAATGTAAATGAGAATAAAGCAATACAATTTTGGGCATGTCAACTGGCAAAGATATGAAGAAAGAAAACAGTGCTACTGAGAACAAAAGGCCGCCTGCACAAAAATTGAGCTCCAAAACCTCTGACCTCAGGGGTAATAAATAAAATACAACATTAGGGTGTGGCTCACGTGGGAGAGTGTATGTCTGATAAGCCCAAGGTCCTAAATCCAAACCCTAGAATTACCCAAAACACAAATGACAATACAAAGGGCCCATACATACTGGATTGTGTGAACTGTAACTCCCCTCTGAAACAACTATGGACTACTTTCAAAATCTACATGTGCAGTGATAGTCAAAGATGATGCATCAAAAAAAGTAGTGCCTAAAAATGATATACATGCACAAGTATAAAATTATGGGTGATTTATGTCTTTGCTTTCCTCGCACGCATTTGTTGCTCTACAAAGAACTTCTAAAACACGACCACAGAAGCAAAATCATGTCACTCTCCAGCTTAAAACCTCTCAAATGGTCCCGAGGCATTTGGGTTGTCCAGATGCCCTCGTGAAGAACCCCGGCCTCTCTTCTCATCTTCCCAACAGTGTGTGTCACTCGGAAAGGCCCCTGAGGACCCATGCTGTTTCCAGCTTCAGCTCTCCTTGCCCCTGCCCGGCACGTCCCCATCCCCACCGGTCTCCGGGCCCAAAGCAGCAATGCTCAGAGTCTGGACCACGAGGCCCCGCGCCCCCCAGCTCCGCGCGTGGCCCGGGTTCTGCTGGGAGGGCACGCACACACAGACCCCCGAGGCCGCGGTCCGCCGCGTAGCCACGAGAGGAGCGTGGGCCCGGGGACAAAAGGGGAGCCCAGGGCCGTGGGCTGGGGCTGGGCCGCAGCGGCCGGGCAGCAACGGAGCCCCTAAGCATGGGGCCCCCAGGAGTGTCTCCAAGGCGGGGAGGCGTCGGGACGCCCGGCGGCGTCCGATCTGGCCTCACCTTGGCACTGCTTACGAAACGGACTTCCACGGCGGCCCGGGCTCGGCCCGCCACGCCCACGCAGAAGGAAAACACGTCGCCCATGGAGGCCGCCATCTTGGGCGCGCCTCCGCCGTCTGACCCTTGACCCCAACCCGACCCGGGAGGCCCCGCCTCCTCAGAAGCCCCGCCTGCCCGAGGCCCCACCTCTCCATCTCACTGTGGACCAGCATGGTCCGCGGGCTGCTGCTATTTTACATCAGTGCAGGTTGTCTCTGTGACTTCTTGGCTACCGTCAGAGTCCCTGTCTGCGTACTGAAGTTTTAATGTTATCTGAGTCCGAGATCATGTTAATGTGTCTGTGGTTGCCTCTATCCACACTTAACTCCCCGGCTGCCAGGCAGACCATCCTCTAAAAGAGCGTTTGGACTCGGGCCCTTCTCGGATTCTCCAGGGACCTTGGAGCAGCCTGGGGTGGTGGGAACCGCCCACAGCAGGCATCCAGCCGGGACCCTTTACAGTGAATGCAGAAGTGGGTACAGATAGCTTGTTCTCAAAGTGGGAAAAGTGCCTCGTTTTGTTTCCTTGTCTCTCAGATGACTTGGTTTCCCTTGAAAAGGGTCCTGTGTATCTGGTATGGTCACATGCTGACATTTGAAGATTGATACAGCCCAGTAATTATTTTGATAGGTAACTGGCATTAATTTTTAGTTAAAAAGAGCCATTATTTCCTAAAAGAGGCAGATGCAGCTGGATTTCTTTGATTACTAGAGTTGACTTTGGTACAGCCTTAGGAAGGATTTCTATGAAGATGGGAACAAGATTGGAACAAACAAGACTGAGTCTGGGCCCTGGCCACCTCATGCCTACTGCTTTGTGCTCCAAAGTTCACGCTGTGGGGCTGGGAAGGTGGCTCAGTGGTAGACTGCTTGCCTCACATGCATGAGGCCCTGGGTTCCATTCCTCAACACCACATAAGCAGAAAAAGCTGGAAGTGGTGCTGTGGCTCAAGTGGTAGAGCGCTAGCCTTGAGCTGAAGAGCTGAGGGACAGTGCCCAAGCCCAGCGTTCAGGCCCCATGACCGACAAAAAAAAAAAATCACAATGTTTTTTCCAAGACTGCTTAGCTCCTGGCCTTTCTTCCCTCCTGTTAGAAGTGCACAACGACTCTCTGGTGTCAGGAATGAATGGACAGAAGAGATACAGAATCTGTCAAGCAATTTACTTTTGCTCAAAAGGGTGCAATGCCTTAATCTACCCAGAACTAGGCAGACATACTGGGCAGAGCAGTTTGGTAGGCTTTTATCATAGTTCAAACTGTCCCCCCTCCTTGTCAAGGAGTTAGGCTCACAATCTAAGTATAATTGATTACTAAAGTTAGAAAAGAGGTGATTCTTTATTTTTGTCAAAGATTTACAATTTTTTCCATCACAGCTGGCTCAGTAGGACTGAGAACAGAGTGGAGGAGGCTGATGAGGTAGGTCAGTGGAAAGCTCCCACTCAAATGGGTTCTGTGTGTCTCGTTCCTTTTAATTCCATTGACAAGGATTTGTCTAACAAGCAGCATACTTAGTAGTTGAAGTTTCATTCTTTTAACTCCTTTGTTACTTCCCTAACTTGGCTAGCTGGTCACAAGCAGCACAGCTGGTAATTGCAGTTTTATTCTTTTAACTCCTTCAACCCAAGATTCACATTCCTCACATGGCTGCTCATCAGAAACAGCACAGATAATAATTACAATTGGGGGGCTGGGAATGTGGCTCTCTGGTAGAGTGTTTGCCTTGTATGCATGAGGCCCTGGGTTCAATTCCTCAGCACCACATAAGCAGAAAAAGCCAGAAGTGTGGCGCTGTGGCTCTAGTGGTAGAGCTCTAGCCTTGAGCTGAAGAGCTGAAGGACAGCACCCAGGCCCAGAGTTCAAGCCCCATGACTGACAAAAAAAAATTACAATTGAAATAAAAAAGGGAATAATTCCAGGAAATACCAAAACCAAAAAAATTAATATACAAGACAAGCATTTTAGTTTGACAGAAAAAGACTACTTTTCCCTTACACTCCCCACCCCCTCACCCTCAGAAAAGGATGAGAGCAGCTAAGGACCTTGTCTCTCACCACCAGGTGGCAGTGCTGATCTCCTTCTCGCCTCCGCCCTTGGAGCCCCTAAATACCCTGACTTACAGAAACCAGCTCTGAAAATGGGGGTGAGGGGCACTGCCTTCACAGGAGTAGGCAGTCAATAGGCTTCCTAGAGAGAAACCAAGCAGACTTTTGGGAGAAAAATCCCTGAATTAGGGTCATGCTTTTGGGGACTGCGGGTGGGACACCGATACATACCTGCCTTGTGAAAATATAGCAGAGCTTATGAAAAGTGAGGGTGAATGTTCTCTAATAAAGAGGAGAAAAGGCAGATAGCTGGAAACAGATGCTGGTCAGGTACCTCTTTTGGTCCAAGAAGGCAACTGAGCCAGAGTTCTGAGAAAGGTAACAGAGCAAACAAAACTATGGGAAACAATGAGAAGTTGGCTCTACCATTTACCTTTCCCTCCTCCTTGCTCTCAACTCTACATCTCTAGTACAGAAGAATATTCTACACCCAGACGCCAATTCAAGAAGATCCTTTTCCTCCACAGCCAGGCCAAGAAAGGACTAACTATTTCCTGAGAAGCCAGGCCAGGTATAGATACCACTTCCCTGAGGTGAGAGGGGCTTATAAGCCTTAACATTTACAGACCCTTTCTGCTGAGTCTGAACGTTGTAAGTGCTTTACAGTCATCTCACCTCTGGGAGGTGTACATTATTGAAATACCCATTGTACAGATGAAGCAACATTTCTCAGATTGACATAGCCAAGGATATAGCAGGAGTCTGGCCCTAAGGGGTTGATACAGAAAAGGGGGCCCTTGCTTGACAGTTCAGATTCATCTGGTGCTCTCTGATCCAGACAAGGCATTCATTGATACATAAGAGCAGCTAGGACAAGAGGGTGTCCCAGGCTCATGCTTGCAGACAGCATGGGTAGGGCTTCTGTCTCCATCTTCAGCTGTCTGATCCTGACTCGGCATCTTCTCTCTGGATGCTGCTATCAGAGCTGCTGGTGGGTTCATCCAGGGAGGCAGCAATGGCAGATGTGGCTGGAAGTTTTAATTTTTGCTGCTTCTGATACTTGACCCTGCGGTTTTGGAACCAGATCCTCACCTATAATTGGGTGCAGTAGGCAGACATCAGACTTGACTAGTTGAGCCCGCTGTTCCCCCCATCCCAGAGTACTCATTCCCTGTCTAGTCAACATTTATTCTTCCTCCTAAGGGAAACACTTCCTTTAAAAACCCAGGCACTGTCCATCCATCTGAATCATCTCTAATGAACTCCTGTAACTTTCTGGAACCATCCGAAGCTGTAGTGACATAGTGGTGAACAATAGAGATATGGTCTTTGCCCTCAGTGAGCTTGTGGTCTAGCAGAAAGAGAATCCAAACAAATGAGAAATGTGTAAACACAAATGGTAGTACAAATCATGTTTGGGACTGGAAGAATCTCTGAGAACCCCACACTAAAATTCAGAGGATAGGAGCTCAGCCTAGTGAGGACAGATAGGAGCAGGCTAGATAAAGACAGACTGTAAGAAGTCTCTGAGTTAGAACCAAACTAAGAATATATGAGGACTAGAAATGAGACAAGCTTAGCTACAAGTAAAAGGGGTGTGGGTAGGGGGACAGGGAGGGGACAAGGTAGAGGAAATAGAAGAAGTTAATGGAGACCAGAACACTCAACACCTTGAAAGTGTCACCTTTGAGGCTTCTGAGTGGCACATGACACAGTCCTATTACATCGTAAGTGAACTGCACACCTGGAAATGAAGAATGGATGAAGAGGCAGAAGCAGGAAGAGAGCTGAGGGGCTGCTGCAGTGATCCAGTGAGAGCCGAGGGTATAAATAGGGGCAAGGGCAAGAAAAAACCAATTGCGTGTGCATCTTAGTGGAAGAGGTGTCATTGTGTGCTCTGGTTGGAAATGGGGATGGAGGAAGAAAAATCTAGAATGACATCCAGAGAGCTGCAAAGAAAACAAAAAGTGTCTGGAAGCCAAGGGAAGAATCTGTTTCAGTAAAGGAAGGTGTGTTCAAGCATACAGACAGCTGCTGAGTGGTGGTGCTGAGTTGAGAAAAGTAAAGCATCTGTTGATTTGGGTGACATGGAAGTCAGAGATTTTCCTGGGAAGTTTTGATGGAATGGGAGGAAAAGTAGTGAAATCGGAATGAGTTAAAGATCTAGCATTCCATCTGGATGCTGGTGGCCCACTCCTGTAATCCTAGATATTCAGGAAGCTGAGATCTGTGATTCAAAGCCAGCCTGGGCAGGAAAGTCTCCAATAAACCACCAGAAAACTGAAGTGGCACTGTGGTTTAAGTGGTACAGTGCTTGCCTTGAGTTGAAGAGCTGAGGAACAGCGCTCAGGCCCAGAGTTCAAGCCCCATTCCTGACAAAAAAAAAAGACCTAGCATTCCTCAGTACGACATCAACAGAAAAGGCTGTAAATGGCACTAGCCTAGAGCAAAAGAAGCTTAGGGACAGTGCCCAAGCTCTTAGTTCAAGCCCCAGGACTGGCAAAAAAAAAAAAGGTGAATGGAGCTGGGCACCAGTGTCTCATGCATGAAATCCTAGCTACTCAGATCTGAGGACTGTGGTTCTGTGAGACTATTTTCAATAAGCTAAAAAAAAAAAAATGGAGCTGTAGCTCAAGTGAGCATTAGCTTTGATTAAAAAGAAGCTCAGGGACAATGCCAAGGCCCTGAGTTCAATTCCCAGGTATGCGCATGGGCACATGCACGCGCACTCACACACACACACACACACACACACACACACACGAGTGAATGGGATGTCAAGGCCTCCCAAGTTCTTGAGAAGTTTACCTGTGAACTGAGTAGAAAAATGGTACAATTGCTGAGGTGAAACTTGAAGTTCAAGAATATATATATGCATAAAATATTTAATACCTTAACTGAGCATCAGTAGCTTTCACCTGTAATCCTAGCTACTCTGAGGCTGAGATACAGAGGATCTAGCTTTGAGGCAGAAAAGTCCTTGATGCTCCACCTCGAAAATAACCAGCAAAAAAGCCAGGCTGGAGGCATAGCTCAGGTGGTAGAACACTAGCCTAGCAAGCAAGCTGAATTAGTGCAAGGCTGAGCACCACCAGCAAAAATAAATAAAGTAGTTTCGATTATGATTAATTTTGCTGATAGTTCCTTAGTCAGTATGGAAATACTTTATCACAAAGCTCTAGATAAATATAGGTTGTTTCCATAATGTGACTCCAAACGGGACTACTTTCTCATTACATAGGTTATTACAAAAAGCTAGAGTGCCTATATCTCCCCAAGAGGCTCATACAGCAGAGGAAAGCCCATGTCCCTGCCCTCCCTCCTTATTTAGAGCCTTCCAGAGGTAGTATGAGTCCTGGTCCAGGCACAGCCCAGCCTCCACAGGTGTTCCTGCTCCCACCTGGTTCTCCGTGAGGTGGAGCTTAGCGGCCAGCTGGGCTCTCTTCTTCCCCACTAGATTGTGATGTTTGGAAAATACTCTCTCCAGCTCTTGCAGCTGCTCCAAGTTAAACATAGTTCGAGCCCTCTTTGGGTGTCTCTCAGTTTCTTGAGGATCCTTGATAGGTACCAAGTCCAGGGGGCTCCAGAGACCAGGAGAGTGAGCCAGCTCCAAGCCTAAATAGAAGCCATCATTAGGGGAGGGAGGGAGAGTTAGCCAGCAGCCCTGGCTCACTCCTCCTTGGGTAGAAGAGATACTGTCTTCTCTAAGTGACACAGTAAGAAGGCAAAGTAAAAAGCAACTGTGCAGAAATAATGCATAACAAATAAATAAGAAAGAAGGGACAATGCTATGTGACTCCTATCTCCACTACTTTTCAGCTGAGTGGCTTGACTTCTGGCCCATAATAGGAGTTGTCAACCTTGACCCTCCTACTCCTGCTCTATTTCTTTGCTCCAGGAAACCCCATGAGATAGGCAGAGGAGAAACCTTCAGAGTTTTACACCCTTTTCATTCACTCAACAAATACTTTTTGAATGTCTGTCATGTATCAAGCATGGAGTCAAAAGAAAATAGAAAATCCTAGGCACGACTGAGGTATAAAATTCTTCCCACCTTTTTCTTTTTTCTTGTGATGGCAGTGGGGCTTGAACTCTGGGCACCTATCCCTTAGTATTTATTTTTCTCAAAGCTGGCTCCCTACCACTTGAGTGATGCCTTTACTTCTAGCTTTTTGCTGGTTAATTAGAAATGAGAGTCTCACAGGCTTTCCTTCCTAGGCTGGCTTCAAACCATCATCTTTACACCTCAGCCTCGTGAGTAACTAGGATTCCAAGTATAAGCCACCAGCACCTGCCTTCTTCCCAGTTTTGTTTTTTTTTGCCTGGTTTGGGACTTGAACTCAGGGTCAGGGCATTGTCCCTGAGCTTCTTTTTGCTCAAGGCTAGCACTCCACCACTTGAGCCATAGTGCCACTTCAGGCTTTTTCTATTTATGTGGTATTGAGGAATCAAACCCAGGGCTTCATGCATGCTAAGCAAGTACTCTACACTAAGCCACATTCCCAGCCCATTCTTCCCAGTTTCTGAAAGCCAAATCATGCCTCCTAACATGACTGGAAAGAAATACCCTCGCTCTTTTTTTGGCAGTACTAGGATTTGAACTTAGGGCTTTGTGCTAGGCAGGTGCTCTACCACTTAAGTTATGTCCCTAGCAAAATGCCCTTCTCTAAGGGACACAAACGCTCAACTCAGCTCACCATGCTGTGAGCCACTGAAGATACATCAACTAGGGTATAGAGTAAGGGGATGAAGGGAATGGGATTAGAGAGTGAACCATTGAGTTATGGGGAAGGAGAATGTTCTAGACAAAGGAATGACATGACAAGTATATGAAGGTACTCATCTTCAACTAGCCTTGGGGAGGCCCTAAGGGCTGGCAATTAGATTACCCAGTAAAGGGAGTGAGTGCCAGGATTCCAAACACTGAGCCACATATCTGGTGCCTGCCTAAGGGAGGATAAAAAGCCAAGAAAAAGCCCAGTAGGCACATAGTCTCAGCTACCTGGTCTCTCCTGCCTTATTTCAGATTTTGAAATAGTAGCTGGGTGCTCTGGTCACTCCCGCCTGTCATTTTAGCTACTCAGGAGGCTGAGATCTGTAAATTGCAGTTAGAAGCCAACCCAGGCTAGTAAGACTCTTATCTCCATTTAATCAGCAAAAAGCAAGAAGTAGGGGTGTGGCTCATCAGCTAAAGCAGGCTGATTGGAAAAATCTAATTGACAGCACGCAGGTCCTGAGTTCAAGCCTCAGTATAGGTCCAAAAAATGAAATAAAATAAAAATCTACATGCTGGGGAACAGTGGCTAATGCCTATAATCCTAGCTACTCAGGAAGTTGAAATCTGAGAATTATGGTTAGAAGCCAGCTGGGGTAGGAAAGTCCATGAGACTCTTACCTCCAATTAATCAAAAGTCGGAAGTGGTGCTGTTACTCAAGTGGTAGAGGGCTAGCCTTGAGCAGAAGGAGCTCAGTGACAGCATCCAGACCCAAAGTTCAAGCCCCAGGACAGGAATTTAAGAAAAAAATATTCTATGTGACAACAAAGTAATAATCCAAGTCGAAAGTCCGATGAATTGAGAAAAGTATTTGTGTCATTACAGACAAAAAGGGCTAGTTTTCCCATTATAAAAAAAAAGAGCGCCGGGCGCTGGTGGCTCACGCCTGTAATCCTAGCTACTCAGGAGGCTGAGATCTGAGGATCGCGGTTCAAAGCCAGCCCAGGCAGGAGAGACCGTGA